AGTAATTTTAGTTTGATTTTTTTTTTCATTTTTTAGACATAAATTTTAAATAAAAATTGAACATTTTATATAAATGGTAGTCAAAATTTTTTCATCAAATAAAATATTGAATAAGAACTGCATATAGAAAACAATTTAATTATTTTCATATAAATTATTAAATTTTTATCTAAAGTGTATATCTAGCAAGTCATAAAATCAAACTGGTACTACTAAAAATAAATAGATAGAGTATTTATTTAATTGATTGAGTTTTTTAAAATTGAATTAAATTAAATGAATAAATTTTGATTTATTATTGGGTTAAGGTAAAAAATTTGGCTTAATAAACAAAATGTGATAATTATAAAAATGTCACAAAAAATTAGACATAATAAATATAACAAAATAAAAGTTTGAGACTAAGGTATATTCTTTCTAGAAGTTTAGGAGTGCCCTCGAATTGTTCTGTCAATTGCTAATAACTACAACATCACTAAACGAGCCCTTATGCAATTGTTCACATTGGCCATTTGAATATATAAGTAAGGAAATTATTGGTTTTAATATTTGATTGGTACATCAAGTGTAATCCTTCACCATTTATGCCAACATTCAAATATAAGACCTCTAACTTAAATTCTATCTTAAAACCATAATAGTTATTATTAACATGAATTTGAATCGCATGTCCCCAGTTGGTATTAAATCAACTCATCACGCAAACAAATCTCAATGATATCACTTGGATTTGTATTTCAAAATGGTAATTTAGGTCTTGACATATGAGTTCCAACCTACTCCTCCCTTGATTAAAAACATGGTAAGAATATTTCTATTTCCATGACTAAACTGAATTTCTTTTATTGTTGTGCTGCATCCACAATTCATTATGCACATCAATTGTGTGGATTGGTTTTGGTCATCAACCTCTAACTTACAATAAGTTAATGCTTTCTTAATGATTATGTATTTTTCACGTCTTATTCATTTTATGACTCTGGATCATGTTTAATTTTTCTATGAAAATAATAATAATAGGTAGATTGTCTAAGAAACTGTAGTTAGGTAATGTATATTTGTGTTAGAAGCAAAATTTTGATGCCAAGATAATCATTATCATCATTATTTTCTTTTTTTTTCATATATTAAAGAGTTAGTTATTTGAGGGTGATTTGAATCTCTTACTTTAAGTTAAAAATTTTAAATTAATAAATATTATTCGATCAAATTCTTATTGATATTATCATCATCATAATTAAAGTAGAGTTTAGGCCTTTTTTTTTTTTTTTCGTTTTTAAATCTCTTGGGCTAGTGGGCTAATATTGAGCCCTCGTGTTCCTTTCGTGGGCTACTGGGCTTCATATTCTCTGACCCATCCATGTTGGATGTAGTCTCAAAAACTATAATTTTTTTTTTTTTTAATAACGTAGAAGTCACAAACGCTGGCTGCTTTAACGATAACCCCAATATGAATATTTTGGGTTTTGCTTTTTATAATGTGGAAGTTACAATTTATATCATATTTTAAATGCATCGAACCAATTTATATTACACACAAGTTTATACCATATATTTCCACAAAATTTTAACTGTTTAATATTTTACTTTTAATAATTAAAATTTATCACAATTTTTTGAATTAAAAATATAAAAATAGAGATTTATTTATATATAAATCTTATACATCATATTTATAAAAAAAATGTTGACAATTCATTCTTTACTTTTTAATGATTGAGATTTATCATAATTTTTTAAATAAAGAGATAATTTCTTTAATAAATATAAAAAAAATTTAATAATTAAAAATATAAATATAAATAGTTTATATTTTGTGTAATTGTGATGTATAAGATTTATATATAAATGGATTTTTATTCAAAAGATAATTTACATTTAATAAAT